CCTGGCTTCTTTTTCACTATCAGAGGCCTTCAGGAACTTCTTCGTCTGGCAAGGCCAGCAAGGCTTTCCTGAACACCTCTGCAGCCAATAACAGAGCTCCGGATCAATCCCTAGCTCTGTTATCAGCTAGAGAGGCCTTCAGGAAAGCCTTGCCGGCTGCAGCAAAAGAAATGGGCCGAGGTGTGCAAGGCTTGGCTGAAGGTAAGTAGTGAAGCAGCTCCACCCCCATCCCCACTCTAGCTTAATTTTTACCTGTACATCCTGGAGTGGATGGGGTCTTAATTAGGGCTTATTTTGGAGGTAGGGTTTATATTGGGTGCACATGTAAAAAAAAATCAAGCTAGGACTTACTTTCAGAGTAGGTCGTATTTTCAGGGAAACACAGTACTTCTTCTCTGAGAGAGGAGCATAATTTACATGTCAAATCCGGGCTATTCTTTTCTGAGTTCAGCTGCTATGTACTCTTCCCAATTCTGTATGGAATCCAACATTCCAAAACACAAATCAAAACCTACCCACAAAATAATTATAGTCAACATAAACCAAATCGTAAGATGAAAAAATGTTGGTTTTGATGAGGCTTCAAAATGTCCCTGTAATACATATCTCCCAATCAGTCTTTGTTTAGAGCATAGGCAATGATTTTTAGGGATCCTTGCTACCCTCTGAGCTTGGTTGTTTTCTTGCAACATTTCATTACCCAAACTTGGTAACATCATCAGTGTTAGTAAGGAATGGCATTTGCTCTCAGTTTATATTCTAATGGCTTGTCTTGTCAGTGTTGGTGGGAGTAGGCTTGGAGGTTCTTTGGTTGGGCAGCTTACTGTTGACTTGTTTGGCAGTTCCTTGATTGGGATATTGTTGATTGTTGGTTTGATGTTAATGTTGGAGTTAATCTATGCTCATCTGGATGCTGATTCCTGGTAGGGAGGGAGTTTGGTCTTTTTGTTCCCTTTTTGGCTCAAAGATGCTTTTTTCAAAAGGCCTTTTGAAAAAAAGCACCTTTGAGACAACTATGATCTGAATAGCTGAGCCTCTCCACAGACAACGTTCCCTTTTCGGCTTATTGATTATCTGTTTTTGCTCAGTATGTAGATATTGTTTATGTCTATGTATCTATTGATGGGAAATTTCTCAGAGTGGCAGGCTTCTAGAAATTCCCTACCATTTTTGGACTGAGCTTGGTCTAGGATGGTCACAGGTTCTCAGTTGAAACTACAGTTAACTCTGTCCCTATATTGTGAAATGAAAGAGTTTTAATCTTGTTTTCTCGCTGCTAGTTGGCATTCACGGATAGGTTCTGCCAGTCTTCTCCATGTTTATCCTATGTAGCGGCTGCTGCAGCCACTATATGTTGTAAGAGAGTCTTGTTGTTTTGTTTTTTTTTTTCTTCTGGGGTTGCTGGATCTTTTATCGAGACAATGATCTTGATTTCAATTCTGCGGTGCTGTTTTATCTTAGAAATTGGCATTTCAGTGAATTAAGATCGGCTGTGGCATTGATTGAAGTTAGCGGTAAAATTTCATGGTCTCCCAACACATAATAGTTTTTTTAAAAAAATAAAATAAACCCTTGATTTAATGGTTCTCACTTCAGCAGTCTTACATTTAGGGGAAAATATCTGCTGGATCTGAATTTTATCCAGATTTCAAGCATTAATAGATTTCACCTGAATAAAGTGGTGATGATATTAAGGATTTCTGCCTTTATCCCTCATTATTACTTTCCCATTTTTCTCGTGGAACAGACCAACAATCTCCTTGCTTTTTTTTCCCTTCCTTCTAAATGACTTCCCATCCCCGGCCCTCTTTCTTATTATAGGTATTTTGCATTTCTCCCCAGTCTTATCATTCAAGTTTTGCTTTCCCAGTTTCACCTCTACAGGCTCAGATAATCCATTTCTATTTCTCCTTAGACATGACTCCTACTTCCAATTCCTATAAAGCTCCTTTCTGCTTCCCTGCTTTTCAGAGCGCTTGAGGTTTGCCCATGAAGGCTTCTTTCAGCATTTCCCCTTTTTATTGTGGATTGCATGTGCCTGTGTTTTCAAGATCTCATTTTGAGGATCTCCCATTCTTCTTGGTTTATTTATCCTTTAGGATGTTGAGCCAAGGTGTGTGTGGGGCTCCATGGGGAAAGGGATGGAAAATGAAACAGGTGTCATAATACTGTGTTTCCCCGAAAATATAAGACCCTGTCTTATATTTTTTTGAACCCTGAAATAAGTGCTTGGCCTTATTGCCATGTGCTCAAAAGCCCGATTGGGCTTATTATCAGGGGATGTTTTATTTTGGGGAAAACAGGGTATCATGACACAAACTTCACTTTTTTGCTCCATGCTTCATGACGTTGCATCATGACATTGTATGCATATTTATAAAGCATGGAGCTTGCACCACATTGTCATGATTCATGTTTCATCATTTTAATGAAACCTCAGGATTTAGCGGATGCTTCTGATGGGATGCAGCCCCCCCCCCCTTTTTTTTTGTCTGAGTTCATTAAGTTTGACTTTCCTGAAATTGTGTCAGGTGATGTCTTACCTTTTTCTTCCTTAATTACCTTGAATTTCAACAAGCCTTGCTTTCCTTCCACCTAACATGCACAACAACTTCACTCCATCAACTATTTTTTCTCTGTTAGTCAGAATTAGATTGAGAATGCCCAACCTTGTTTCTTCCACCTTTTGAAAAATTTAGAGTATTAGCGAGATTGATAAGAAATCTTTTGGGCTTTTCACTTTAAGCTGAGTTGACAATGTGGTGAGTTGTTCTAGGCAAGAGGTAGGGAATGATGGCCCTTTTATGACTTGTGGACTTCAACTCCCAGAATTTGTGAGCCAGCCATGCTGGCTCAGGAATTCTGGGAGTTGAAGTCCATAAGTCATAATTTTGAGAGTTGAAATCCATAAGTCATAAAGAAGTGATTGTTCCCTGCCTTTGTGATAGACCAGGGGTGTCAAACTGGCGTCGTCACAGAGTCATCACATCAGGAGTGGGTTCTACTTACCTTTTACTTACTACCGGTTCGCATCGCACCCACTTCTGTGCATGCACAGATCACCTATGATGACGTCCAGGTCAGTGGGTGGAGGCTCACGCCAGTTTTACTACCAGTTCTTGCAAACTGGTCCAAACCAGGGATAACCCACCACTGCATCACATAATGTATTGTGATTTTTTTCTCTTTTGCTAAACTGGGCATGGGTGTGGCCAGCGTGACATATCTGGCCCACGGGCCACGAGTTTGACACCCCTGCTCTAGACAGTCTTCATTTGTGTCCTCTACGTGGGTAGATAGCTTGTAGTAAATTGCCAATAATGTTTCTTTAGTTCTGTTTCTTCCTTTTTTAAAGTCTTCCCCATACTTTTAACTGGAAGCTTTATATTCATGGGTGTGAATTCAAAGGTTTGATGATATTATATTGCTGTTGTTATTGTTTTACATATAAATATAAATTCTTTGGGACTTTTTCTTTTGGAAAAAATATATATCAATTCTATATTTTGATCATGACTTTCACCCCAATAATTTTCCAAGTTTTTGTTTGCAAGCTCTGTGTGTGTGCCATGCTCGCATTTTTTTCATAGTACACAGAAACTGGAGGCTGAGAATGAGAACGTCACTGCTCATTGGACTTTTTACCACCACATTTTGAGGATTTCCAGCTATGTTTTATTTAGTTTATTTATTTTTCACATTTTTGAACCACCCATCTCCCTTTCCTGCCTCCTACCTTCTTAATTATCAGAATGAACCTAATGCTAATGCCTAATGATACCATTATAATTGTAATCATAATAATTGTAGCTTATTATAATATATATAGTATAATATAAATATAATGCTAATTAGCCTACAACCTAATAAGCATTCTTAACGCTCAGCACTTTTCTTTCTTTCTTTTTTCTTCAGGTTTTTTGTTTTATATTACATATACATATCAATGCGTGAACAGTGTGACACCTAGGTTTCAGTACAGATAAATATAATATTATTAATCATAGTTATCACATTCATCCAGCTTATATATTTCTAGTAATAATACATATTTATATCAAATTATAATCTTTCATTATTTCATATTGTTTAAATATACATAATACTACCGCCGTTCAGTTTCTAAACTTCCCTCTTATCATTGTACTTTAGAATAACAGAGTTATTCAAGGATCAATTGAATATTCACACTGATCGATTGTTCTAACTGTCAGGAAATTTCTCCTTAGTTCTAGGTTGCTTCTCTCCTTGATTAGTTTCCACCCATTGCTTCTTGTCCTACACTCAGGTGCTTTGGAGAATAGCTTGACTCCCTCTTCTTTGTGGCAACCCATCTTTTTAAATGTTTCTACTTTTAGTGTCCTGTTTGCGGTTATATGCTGGAGCCAGTTTGCACCTTTCATGAGAGCTGATTGTTAAATTTTCTGAAATTTGACAAAGTGGTTAACAGCAGAAATAAACATCAAAGCCTAGCCCATCCTTTTGTTATTCTGTGGCTAACAGAGTGGTGGGGTTTGCCGGTGGAACTGGGAGAGCCAATTCTGTTTCTTTCTACTTCTTTCATTTTCCTCTCTTGACTATCAGTAAGAAGGATGGATAAAAATGCAACTGGCATTAGGGCTCCTAGATCTGGACTGCCAAAAGTATGAACTACTAAAAGGTAAAGGTTCCCCTAGCACATATGTGCTAGTCGTTCCCGACTCTAGGGGGCGGTGCTCATCTCTGTTTCAAAGCTGAAGAGCCAGCACTGTCCGAAGACGTCTCCGTAGTCATGTGGTTGGCATGACTAAATGCCAAAGGTGCACAGAATGCTATTACCTTCCCACCAAAGTTGTCCCTATTTTTTCTACTTGCATTTTTTAAATGCTTTCGAACTGCTAGATTGGCAGAAGCTGGGACAAATAACGGGAGCTCATCCCATTACATGGCACTAGGGATTCGAACCACTGAACTGCCGACCTTTCGATCGACAAGCTCAGCGTCTTAGCCACTGAGCCATTGTGTCTACTAGACTGCAACGAAAAGCAAAAGTTGCTGTATCTCTTTGCTGCCATCTAGTGACCATTTGATTTTTCTCGTTTTGGATCTAGTAGGCCTAACTTGCATCCCAGGCCCTTTGCTTTTTTATCTTCTGCATATAATTTATCCCCCTGTGGTAGTGTCATTTGTCTCTAAGGGTATAAGTAGGAATGGATAGTGATCAGTCAGTCTGGTGAGTTTGTCATTTTTCCCACATGTCCTGAATATCATATATAGGCCCATCTGTGGATAATCCAATGCTCCAATTTTAACCAAAATACCATGATCCATGGATAAACTGACCTTCCAAAAAAATTATATGTTTTAATTTTTCCAGTTGAGTTATCTGTGGGTGGATGCTGCCAACCCATTGGTCAAGGAATTCCAGCTGGTGGAGTCCAGGAGAAGGGCCTTCTTTGCTGTGGCTCCTGCCCTTTGGAATACCCAGTTCCTGAGGTGAGATCCCCATCTCTCTCCTGGCCTTCAGAAAGGGCCTGAAGCAGTGGTGACATTCAATTTTTTTTTACTACCAGTTCTGTGGGCATGGCTTGGTGGGTGTGGTGTGGCTTGGTGGGCATGGCTTGGTGGGCGTGGTAGGGGAAGGATATTGCAAAATCTCCATTCCCACCCCACCCTGGCACCAGCTAGAGGTGGTTTTTGCCGGTTCTCTGAACTACTCAAAATTTCTGCTACCGGTTCTCCAGAGCCTGTCAGAACCTGCTGGATTTCACCCCTGGCCTGAAGACCTTGTTTTGCCAATTAGCCCAGGTCCGCAATAGGGGAGCATCATTTTGGACGTGTTACTGAACTAGATAAGACACCTCCTCCCCCCCCCTCAAAAAAAATCCTGTCTGCATCTTGGTCCCTTCTTTCCCATCTTTGGCAATTTTCAAGTAATTTATTGTTTTATTGTTTTTTAATTATTGTAAGCTGTCTACTGGGCCGCAGCCTGTTGAAAGACCCTTTCTTTACAAGACCAATTCCCAGAGAGTTCTTGTAAAGCAGAACTTACAGTATTATGCTATTTGCCAAAATTGGAGTTCTTACATATGTGTGTGTGTGTTTGTGAAGAGAGATAGATAGATGAATGATGGACAGAAAAGATAATAGATGGATAGATAGATGATAGAGATGGAGAGGGGGGAAGGATAGATAGATAGATAGATAGATAGATAGATAGATAGATAGATAGATAGATAGATAGATAGATGTGTTTGGAATCTATCTAAGAACATGAAGAAGGAGAAATTATGTAGCATAATTTCTAGGATTCATTTCCATTTATATATGCCAGCTAATCCTGTGTGTGTGTGTGTGTGTGTGTGTGTGTGTGTGTGTGTGTGTTTGTGTGTGTAACAATCCACTTTCCTGTGGTTTTTAATACTGCATTTTTGGAGGTTCCCTTATCTCCCTTTCCATATCATTCCAAAGACAGATGCCTTGTTATCGCCCGTATCTCTGGTCATGCCTTTCTTGCTCCAAGACGGCCATCCTGTGCTTCTCAGGTTACCTGTTGCCATCTGCCTTTAAGGCTCTCAGAAGGGAAGGAGGATCTGTGTCAGCTTCCTTACTCAAGGAATCCCACAGATGAAATGGGTTTTTTATACTGTCATCTCCCATTTTCTCACTTAACCATGATCTGGCTATCAGATCGGTTGTGTGCAAAAACAATGGAGAGAGGCAGAGAAGGGAATAAAGAAAAGAATAATTTTTCAATTCAGCAAGGTAATACAGTAAAATATGGTTCCTTTTAAAAAGATAAGTGTTTTCTGGGCTTGGGCAGAAGGATAAACAGCTGAGTTATCTGTAGTCTCTCTTTTATTTTCAGCCTGTGTTGTCGGGCTTAGTAAATTTTTAAGCAGCTGTCAAACTGAATTTATTATAGAAGTGGTCTACATTCTTGCGTAATCCAGAAGGGAAAAATCCCACTCAGTGATTTTATACTCCATCCTTTGTCTTTAGAACACTTTAAAAGCTTCCTCCACTTAAGATTCAAGAGCACCATTAGTCAAAAATTTCAGCTCTGGAAATTCTGTACCTAGTCTTGACAGCTTAACTTCCGAGGTGCCTTAAGTGGGTTTTAAAGTGATAGAGGCATTTTTGCTGTAGATATTGATAGAAGAAACTGTTGAAATGCAGTGGTTTAGAAGATTGCAATTAGATTCAGAGAGAGAGACAGAGAGAAAGACAGAGAGAGAAAGAGAGAGAGAGAGAGAGATGGCGCAAAGTAGATTTTCAGTTCTGTGAAACAGGGATCTCCAGTCCTGGGTCCGTGGCCCAGTACCAGGCCACAGCTGTTGAGAACTGGGCTGACAAGTGGCAAGAAAGTGAGTGAATTCATGAAGCTTCATTTTTACAAGTGGCGCATGTAACAAAACCATCAGTCGCAAAGCTGAAAGGGTTGGGGACCACTGCTGTGAAACATTGGATGGTCACTCTGCCTGCTCCAAAAGAGATCCCATACAGACTGAGATTTCTCTATGCAAATTAAGGGATCAGAACATTAAAAGGATTGATTCATGATTTCTTGGCATCTTGCTTGCATCGGAACAGAATGCCCCACCTTCGCAGACCCTCTTCTCCATAGGCCTTTCACATACACCTACCAAATTCCAGCAACACATCAATGTTTGATGGCGGGTCACAGGAGAATGAGGTTAAATAGTCACAGTCGATTTGTGTTGTTACAGATGACAGTTTTGGTAATTGTATGGACAATCTAGCTATCATCTTCCTGGCAACAATATGGATGTGATTTATCATTGTCTTCTTCTGGGTTTCTTTTTTTCTTTTTTTAATTTAGAAGTCTAGCCTCCAGCCCTGGGATTTGTGGGTTATCCCTCATCCAAATATTAACAAAGTCTGAACTACCTGAGATTTTGAGATTGGCCGAGACCAGCTATATAATTATTATTTATCAAATGTATGTACAGTAGCTGCCTATCTTACCATGAGCAACTCTGGATAGCATGCCACAATCAAATAAAACAATAAGAGATACAAATCGTCATTATAAAAATATTTTAAAAAATGATTATTAAAAGTTTAAAATATTAAAAATTAAAATATACAAACTACAGGGCGAGGAGAAAGTAAATATGTCAACTACAATAGAGGAGCCCTCTTAGGCTATTATAGGTAGTCCCTGACTTATCACCATTTATTTAATGACTGCTTGAAGTAATGACAGTGTTGGGAAAAAGCAACTTTCATCCGGTCTTTGCCCCTAGGAGCGTTGCAACATCCTCAACGGTCATATGATCAAAATTTGGGTACTTGACAACTGGCCTATATTTATGTCAGGGGTTCGTATGATTGCTATCTGTGACCTTTCCAGGCACCTTCCAACAAACAAAGTGAATGGGGGAAGCTGGATTCACTTAACAGCCATATGATTTGCTTAACGGCCATAGCAAAAATCATATAATTGGGCACAACTTACTTACTGACCTCATTGCTTAGTGACAGAAGTTCCAATTATGATTGTAAGTGAAGGACCCTAGGCCCCCCAAGCTTGTTTACATCACTTTCACTTTTTTTGTCTTTAAATCATGTTTTCAAAATATACTCTGTGTGTGTGTGTGTGTGTGTGTGTGTATCAGAGGAAAGATAACTACTACAGGTGCCAATGTGTATGATATATAATGAGCACAAATATATAATATGCCCACTATCCAGTAAATTGCTATTATCAGTGAGGATGGTCTGAGTCAGTTTAGTGTGTGTTTATTCATAAACTGATTTCATTCTGTCTCTGCATTCAATTTAGATATTTTTAAAAAGTGTGAATGTTTAAATCTACCATGCAAAAATGCATATTTAAATACATATTTTGATATGCTTTTCTGAAAGTATTTTTTCTCACAAAGCATGCATTTCTGAATGTGTTTTCTCTCAAAGTTTTGCCTAAAGTAGAACCTGAAGCAAAAGCTGCCCTGGAAAATTCAGATAAGTCCAGAATTAATTGGTACATTCATCTTGAAGATGTCGATCAAGTCAGTTCACTGTGAAATGTTGACTCAACAGAAACCTTGAATATCACTAGTTATAAGTCCACCAAGGGGTTCCTGTTGCCAATTTCCATTTTGTGGAGTGTTGGAGAGATTTCATCAAATCCTTGGTCTGCCACTGTCTGCTCAGATTGAACAATGGGACTTTCCAAAGTTCATGGACTGATTGGCTGTTTTCCAGTCTACTCGATGAGGGATTCCAAATTGGAAAGACGCTAATTATCCTTGATTGATGGGCAGGCAGGCAGGCTTGTCGTACTGGCCAAGGGAAGAAGAAATCGTAGAAAGGAAGACTAAAGTTAGCATTTTCCCATCAGTACAAACTTACAGAATTAATGATTTGATTCTATCTATTTATTATCTCGATGCCTGGAACAGCATATGGGTACCAGGATGCAGATGGTAGCTATCCTGCTGAGTTCAATAAGGAGACTGTTGCAATATTTCCAGGATCAGACTCAATAAGATTAGCAAGAGTTAAAGATTTAACTATATATTCTTTTATTTACAATAGGCATTCTATATTCACTGAATATTCACAGATAGAAGCAAGGGAAAGGGTGTAGGTAGCTCCTTATATATACAATGGGTGGAGCTATATGTGGGAGTGGTGAATTATGAATACATTAAGAAGTGAAGAATAAGTTAACCCCTGATACCCTGTTTGTACACTATTTACACATTAGAGAATAAGGCATTTACATCTGACAAATCCCCCTCTAAATGCCGATTCGTTATACAACACCAGTTACACTCAGATTCAGGACAATACAAAACATACAACTTAGAGGTTAAATATTTGTGCTGCTTAGAAGGTAAAGGCTTTGTCAATATATCAGCTAATTGTTCTGAAGTGTCGCAATGCACTGCTTTAATAAATCCATCCTGAGATAATTGTCTCACATGTTTAAATTTTATATCTATATGTCTGGACCTTTGTCCAATGGCATCAGATCTAGATATTTCAATGGCTGCTTTATTGTCTTCATGCATAACAAAAGGCAAAGCAGGTTTTTTTCCAGACATCTGAAATTAAATCATTAAACCATACAAGGTTATTTGTGGCTTTGGATAAACAAACATATTCCGCTTCTGTCGTTGAAGTGGCCACTAGTTCTTGTTTACCAGTGTACCAGTAAACTGGACAGTCATTTAAGAGAAATACATAACCAGATGTACTTTTTCTGCATGAGATGTCTCCAGCCCAATCTGCATCTGCATAACACGTAAGTTTTGGTTCTTTATTATCATTAGGTTCTAACATTAAACAAAAGTCTAGTGTACTTTTTAGATATCTTAAAATTCTTTTAACAGCTTCCCAGTGATACATTGTTGGTTTGCTGACATGTCTGGATAATAAATTGAGTGGTAAAGCGATATCTGGTCTAGTCCAATTAGATATATAAAGGAGTGAACCTATGATTGATCTATAAAATGTGTTGTCCT